ATCATGTTGAACTTCGAAGCTCGCACAGCCCGTCGAGTTACTTATAGCTGCAGCGCCGTACAGGCTCTGTGTCCTCCTCCCGCGCCACCTTTTGTTCTCTCTGACAGGCCCGCCAGGGTGTATCTCCCTACGCTTGTTCGTTTTCTTTCTTATCTTTACATCCTCATCGATAATGATATTGGAATCTCCGCCTTCCGACCCCTTTTATTGTGGGAACCCCGATTGCAGTCGCGTGTGCTCCTGGCGGGTAGTGAAGGACCGAAGGAAAGCAAACTTTGGTCGCGCTTACTACTCCGTACGTTTGACCGTTGTTGTATGAGCTAACACCTCAAAGACTGAATCAATACATGCACAGTGTGATAAAAAGGCTGGCGGGTGCGGCCAATTTCGTTTCCTGAGCAAGAAGGCATCAGCGTCGCCGGCATCATCCCCTCGACGACCCGCTGCCATGAATTCTCAGCCCGCCCCCTTCCTTGATCCTCTACTCGCTCCTGTGCCGCAGCCAGTTGTACCTCCGAGCACTCAGACAACGATGACAAAGCCCATCTTCTCGGACTGCCTGAAGCTCAACTGCACAAGGAAGGCCCGTTCTACTCGATGCGCGTTCTGCCCGACATGTTGCAAGAACTCTGGTGGCTGTTCTCTTCATATCCCGCCGATCTTTCCGCCACAACCGGCACACTCTCCTCGGTTAACGACTCCGAGTTCTCCTCACGCTTCGCTTCCAGTGATGTCATCCTCCTTGGGCCTCGCAATCGACAATCTAGATTACACCTTTGATCAGCCATCTAGCTCTATATCCTCGAGACTATTCCCATCCTCTAGTCACTCAACGGCGCCAACATCCGAGTCTAGTGCTTCCCCTTCGCTTTCTATCCCAGCATCTCCTTCGTCAGCTTCACAGTCTGCACGCTCACCATCCGTCATTTCTATAAGTTCAACATCAGCCTCGGGGTCTACTCGTTCACCATCAGTCATTTCTATCGGGTCTTCATCTTCGCCATCGCCTTCTATCTCCGCTACCACATCATCTTCATCATCCCTCATCAAGAAGTCAACAAAAGCTCGGTACTCCAGCCAGCTAAGCCCTCTATGGACGAGTCCTGCCGCACAGTCCCCTACTATCAGTTCAAAGGTCGATCCCCACACGAGCAAGCGTGCATACGAGCGTCGCGAGCAACAGTCCTTCCCACTCATTGTCTATCATACGTCACATACCGACCCAAAGATCTGCACCGTCGACGACTGCCAGGCATACCCGAAATGGTCACTCGCCGAGAAGGCGGCCTATCTACTCTCCTTGGGATTCGCAGCATCAGACCCTATCGAGGTGTATCGTCCTCGATATAGGTACTGGGAGCTGATTTCCCTTACTACCGTCCACACCATCGCACCATCTTCTTGTCTAGTCATTCGTCGCAACTCCGAGGTCATGTGCGACAATCTCGATCGCTGGATCTCCGACGTTCAGGGCGCCGCTCGCACAAAGAGCCCATTAATTTGGGACAACGTTGGCGCTGAGCGTGCACGTGTTTCCGCACTTCACAAGCAACGCACGCCTACGACTAGGAAACGGAAAGCAGACGAGATGCTTGGCGATTTGGATGACGAGGATCAAGCAACGTTAAAGCGCATCCGTCGAGATTATACCTTACCGGACATCCCGAAGATACCGTCACCGCACCTTGAGTTGCTTCCCGGCTGCGAACTCCTTCCTTTCATTCTCGCTGATGACTCGCCTGAACTATCTTTATCGCCCTTCACTCGTGAGGAATCCTTCGACCCTGAGCCCTTCAGTCGCTCCATGTTCGATCCAAAGCCGCCTGCTCGACTCGATCCAAAGCCGTTTTCCTCCCCGTCATCTTCGACACCTTCTTTGACACCTTCATCGCCGCTGGTCTCTCCTGATGCTGCTATACGACTCCCGCTTCTCCCGGCTGATGGAGGCGATCCATTGGAAGCATCCTGGCCTGGTGACTGGTATGTCGAGGATGTCATCACCGGGTTAAAAGCCATTGATTCTTCGTCTTCACCATGTCGGCTCACTCCTTTCGCCCGAGCACTCAACTGACGCAGTCGAAATATTGACTTTCCGCGTTCGATGTGAAGTGCCTCCATTGCGGAATGTTGAGGATCGGAGCACGTCATTGATCCTGCTGTGATGCGAGATGTACATCCGACGACGGCACAGATGTTGTGGTAGTCATCGTGAGCTTCACAGTATCGCTTCTTGTTTCGGTTCCGAGGCAGCGCATTGAAGCAAGTGGGTTCGGCGCAACGGGGATGGCCCATGGTAAGACCGTCAACGACAACGACTTCGACTTTGGAATGACCACCATCATCGTCCTCATAAATCCGGGT